AAATTAGAAAGGTTTTTTTCTTTTTCTTTTTTTGGTCTGAAAGGGAAATTAGAAAGGTAGGCGATAATATTTACATCATAGTGGACCCCGGGACAGTATGGTAGCATTAAAGACGCAAAGGTCTTCCTGAAAAGGTGATGGGGTTGTCCTTTTGAAGGACAAAGCTCGTGAAATGACACGCCCCATCTTCAATGGCCCAAAGAAAAAAAGCTTCTGTATTTGCATGTGAACAAGACCTAACCAATCTCTCCCCTTCGGCCCTCACAACAAGTCAATCGCAAATAGTACTGCTGCTTCTCTCTCTCTCTCTCTCTCTCTCTCTCTCTCTCTCTTCATGTTTTTGCTGAGGGTGATCTTTCTGTCCTCATCTTTCAGATTTTTCACTTCCTTTTTAGCTTCCTCTTCCACCTCCAAAGTTCACTTTTTTTGAGTAACCTAAAGAGGTGCATATGGAAAAACCCGTACATTATTTTTGTTTGGATTTTGGAGTTTGTGATCAGAATTAATTCAGTTAAAAGCAAGGTTGAGTTCTTAATCTTCATTCTTCTTGCCATGCTCAATCTTATATTCATTCACTAAGGTATGTATTTTTATATATCTTATCACTAACATCATGATGATGTTTAATCCATCCTCGACTTTGAATAGTTGTACGGCGACATATGTCTATATATACTTATGAACAATTTCTAACCGCTAATACATATGAATTCAACTATAAAAATCACATACATTAATTATTCATAATCGCGTTAATATAAGTGAATTCGACAATAAAAATCACATTTGCTGACAATCGCTCAGAAGCCATACAAATCGCCACGCTAGCATCCCCTGATCAAAAAGTGGATAGAAAAATTGATTTCCTTAGAAACTTCGAGCAAAACGAATAATTATTATCTTAATGTAAATGGATCATCATCGTCACCACCTCAGACTCGCATGTCAATTTTGTCGACAGAGTTTTGAATTTTGACACACAAGAGGAGCATACGAGCGTAATTCAAAGAAAAAGCAGGGGCAATTACAGAGTTGAACATCAAAAAGTTAAATTTTGGCAGTATTCGGACTTGGTCTTAAAGCATATCCGACGACGCCGACTATTATCATCATACGGTGGTCCTATCTATCTACTGATACCGACACGTCACACAAGTGGCCCCACCATTTCACTTGTCGACTGCTATACGTGTCACCTTACCATTTCTCCTCCGGAAAAAAGTACAATATCAAATTCTCGTGATTTCATTTCATTGCCGGGAAAGATTTTCTCAACCACCAAAGCGACGCCGTATTATTCCGGTTATTCACATAGTGGCGTCAACCCTTTTAGAATTGACCTCACGGTGCCGTCATAAATAAATAAATAAATAGTCTTCAAGTGAGCACGTCACATGGGCTTGAGCCTTAAAAGTGAGATGGTCGCAAGGCCTTGGTACAAAAAGGGCCCACATTTGCCAGAGGCAGTCCCGGTGGCCCCAGCCTGGCTGCCTAGTCAAGTATGGGGCAAACTCTAAACATGGTTTTTCCAAATACTCTTTGAAGGCTAACAAATAGCTGAATGCCAAGGTGCCATGGCAAGAAGACAGAGTACTAAGTTATCTTGCAAGTCACAGCACCTTTGGCATCAATAGCATGGGCCCAGAAATTGCTCCAAATCTTGAAGACCAACAATTTTGCATAGATAAAATGATCACATGTTATGGCCAAAAGATCTTCAACTTCTGTAGTGCTACACTATTGACACACATTCGGTTAACACTATTGACACACATTCGGTTGGCTGGTTTCACTTTCTTTTGTCCCCTTGAATAACCTAAAACTGCGCCAAAGGCAGCCGCCTGCAACAACAGTCAATTGTTGATGCATTATAGAACTCACTTGCAGTAGTGACTAACAGCTGCCTGCCTGCCCACCCTTGCTCGACACTTCTGGTATGAACAAACAGTATGTACATTGATTTGGAAGGAGTTAATTGCAATTAGTTGACAGCCGCTGCCTGCGCACCCTTGCTCGACCGTTCTGGTATGAACAAACAGTATGTACATTGATTTGGAAGGAGCTAATTGCAATTAGTTGTTGCTAGCTAAGCTCTTTTTTCAAATGAAAGTAAAATGAGTCAAAGATGTAGTTGGACCACATCCAGAGTGTGGGGAAAGACCAATGTCTCATCAGGCTTCCCTTCTTCCCTTCAATGAGCTGGCTTGGACTATTTTCTTCTTCTTCTTCTTCTTCTTCTTTTTTTTTCAATTATATTCCTCTGATGGCATCTTGGGTGGACCAGGTCGGTTTGACAATTTCTATTTCCCTGATGTTTTTGAGCTGAGTATTTAGAGCCCCACTCAGCCTCCCAGATAAGAAAGAACAGCAATGAACCTTTTAAATGTGCTGCGTCAACCCATCTGTAGTTTTTTGTGGACTTTAAGAACCCTCAATTATTTTAGCACTTGAATGATTTAGAGAGATAACAACCTTTTATTCCAATTGGCATTGATTGAGAAATCGGAAATTGAAATCTCTCTGCACATAAATTGAGTTCTAGAATTTTATTGCTACTTGTTATAATCATATTAACCCTCAAATTTGGGTAAGTTGACCAAATGCCAATGAGCCTTGGCCATTTTGCTTGATGATGAGCATCTGCAACATGCTTGTTTTGATGCAACCTCCAACTGTATGTGGAGAGAGAAAGGGAGACCAAGTCAGAGCTGAGTTGGGTTTTTAGTCGTGTTTGAGGCTAGAGATTGGTCTTTGGGTCCACACCATGAAAATGGACCCAAGAAATTTGGCACAAAAGTCTTAAAGAGTTTTTTTTTTCTTGGACGAAAGTCTTAAAGAGTTGGGTGGAAGAATTGTATTATACTAATTTTTGGGGCATTCACGTAAGACTGTGGCGGTGTTGCATTATGGTTGAATGGGGAGACAAAATTTAGGTTGGGGATCTATAAATCAACCACTACTAATTGTCAGGTTGAAACCAGGTGTTCAACGGTGTTTGCTGATGGCAAAAATTGGTGAACCAAGGTAAAATCATAAATGCACAATGTAACACAGTTTACCCATAGTCGGACTACATCAACGTTCAAAAATTCAGGTTTTCACCATATAAAATAGATAGTATTTATAATTTACAAGAAAAATGGGAGAGGTAAAGATCCAATAATGAAAGTGAACAATGAGAATTACAATGAGAGGTCTTAGGGACTGTTTGGGAGTGGTTTTGAGGGCTAAAACCGCTTTCTGACAACGTTTGACATAAAAGTTTAGAAATGCTTCTGGGTCATATAATCGTTTTCTGGAGAAGCACCTGCTATGTGCTTCTTAGGTTTTTTAGGTTTTAGACATAAAAAAAAATTCACTTTTGGAAAAAGCCAAAGCTTTTTCAAAAAAGACAAAAAAAACCACTCAACTTTCAAATCAAAGACATGCAAATGTATTGGATTCCTTAGGAAATCTAAAAATAAATAAGGGCATTTTTGTCCATTTTTGCTTCTTTTAAAAATTTTCTCTCTCCTTTTGCTTTTTTCCAAAATGCCCCGTGCTTCTTTAAGAAGCATGCCCCAGTGCTTTTCCAGGAAGCACTTGGATTTCTTATGAAAATTTCAACATTTTTATAATTAAAGCTCTTTTACTATAAGCGCTCATGAGTAAAAGTGCTTCCTAGAAAAGTAGTCCAAAACAAGGCTTAAGACTTAGTGAGGATAAGCTTATTTAGGTGTGTATTTTATCTCAAAAGACTATGGTGCAATTTAAGGAGAGATTCCACTTAACATATCTTGATAGGAAAATTAGGGCTCGTTTGGTATCCTACTTGGATCCAATTTTATAACTCAAAAACAAATTTGACCCAAAAACCTATTTGGTAGGCTCATTTTTAAAAACCCAAACCCAAAAAAAATTCAAAAACATCCCTATTATTAAAAACAAAAAAAGTGGGATTTTATGACACACTCTCTCTCTCTCTCTCTCTTCTCCCTATGTCGTCTCTCTCTCTTTCTTGCACACCACCAAAATTGATAGGGTTTATGCCTCATATCTTTTTACTTTTCTTTTGTTAATTTCAATTTGGGGATTAGGGTTTCTAATTTTCTGACTTTAATTTCAATTTTTTTTTAGATCTTAAAAATAGTTTGGAGTTCAATACCAAATAAGTTTTTAAGTCTTAAAATCACTATTTGAAAACTCATATTTTTAAAAAGAATTATAGTTTTTTAGTTTACTTTTTTTAGTAGGATACCAAACAGAGCCTTACATTTCTTGTGTGATATACCTGTATTTGAGCCACAATATTTTCAAGTTTACATTATTATTGTTAGCTAGTATCTTTAAGAATTAATGTTCCAATTTAATAATAAAATTGCAAGCAGCTCAGAGATGTATAATTGAGCACTATGCACATTGTTTGCTCCTTTTCCCAAATGTGAGGCTAAGCATATTCTATGCTTACATAGAATGCTAAGCATATTGCTTTATAGTGCTGCAAGTGCCATTTTGATTTTTGGGATTGTATCTTTAAAAAAAAATCAACAAAAATAAAATAAAGTAAATCAAAGTTTCCTTCTTTTTGGCTTTGATATACAAATAAATAGTCAAGATTTAACTAAAATTATGTTTGATGAACAAGGGGCGAACTCTAGGCTAGGCTAACTTAAATTTAATCAGCACTACCAACAAAGTCTAGTCTATTGAAAAATGGCATTAACTTGCATACAAGAGGTCTCAAGTTCAAACTCTTATGGTATCATTTATGTGTGTGTGAAATCTCCCTCTCCTTTAGTACTATCGCTTCTACTCACAAAAAAATAATAATAATCATCACCTCTCATTATTAGGCTAAATTTAGTTCCAATTAATGACCCATGAATTGAACTAGGTTACAGCCCAGTTCGGCCCACACCCGATTATCTTTCACATTGTCCGCCGAAACGGCTTGCGTTCGCAGTCTTGGAAGTCCGGTCCATTCTGCTTCTTCACTCTCTCTCTCTCTCTCTCTCTCTCTCTGTGTGACTCCTGAGTATCTCTACTTTCAAGTTTCAAGTCTCCGCTTGTTGACATTTGACATTTCACCTTTCAAAGTTTAAACCCCATTATTTTTTCTTAAAGAAGAATATATTTCCTGTTTGCTACGAGCTCAACCTTCGCTCGATGAGACGCAGAGCTCGTGCAGCCATTGAATCAACTAAGCTTATGCAAGACAAGCACAGAGAAATAGCATCTTATTCTAGGTAGGCAATCTGAATCCTAGTTGGAATGTCCTTCAAACAAGTTTTCTTTTTTTGGTTTTGTTTATGAATAATAAAGCTTTGTGATTTCACTTCTGTTTTTAATGTTTTGTCTCCAACTCCATTGGAAATAGGGTCTGGTTGTAGTGTAAAGAATTGGGTTTGCCTCAAATTATGGAGAAGAATTTTCTTCTGCTCGTTGGGATTTTGTTGTTACAGCTTGTGGTTCATTGCTCTGGTTCTGATTTGAAGGTAAAAGCATGAGAAAACTTTGTTGTAGTAAAGTTTATTGCTTTTCCACTTCTATTTATTAGTTAGAGGTTTTGAATATAGGTAGAAGACGGTGCAAAAACTGATTTAGATCCAAAAGTTTCATTAACTTCGAAAAATTCGAACACTTCGGGTGATCAAACTAGCTCCGATTCAAATGCTATTGACATTAAAAAAATGAAGGAAGACAGAGATCAGGTTGGTGCATCAAAGGAGGGTGTTGGGAATGCTGTAGACAAGAGCAATCCAAGTAAGGAAGTCGGCTTAAAACAATCTCATGATGTGCTAAAGAGTGGGAGAGGATCGAGTGGGGGATTTAAAATGGAGGGTTATGACAAGAAACAGAAGCCCAGTGATGGGTTGGAATCAAAGCAATTGCCTAAGGAGGTGGATAATGGAGGAAATGTGGTCACTGTGAACCCTGTGAGGAAGGAGGGCCCTGGGACCGAGGAATGTGATCCAGTTAATAGGTGCACTGCTGAGGAGAGCAAGCTGGTTGCGTGTTTGAGAGTTCCCGGAAATGGTATGTGCTACATTTTGTATTCATGGTAGCTTTATGGATTTTTCTTGTTTATATTATCTATCCTAGGCGTTTTCTTATCTGTTTGATCTTTGAAACCCATGTTTTTTTAACGTATATATGCGGAATTTGCTGTAATGTCTAATAGGCTTATAATTGTATTAGTCTGCACTGGATATATAATAACAAATTACAAAAGGAGGTGTCAATTGACTAGAAGAAATGGTACAACATATCCTGGACTAACAGAATCAAACCGAATTATTGACCTTGTTAATAATTCTGTATGAAATAAATATACAGATATCTGAGTTTGTTCCTTTTATGCTTTCAGATCATTATTCATTTGGCATGCTGAAATATGTTTTATCCTTTTTGAAGTCTGTTATGTTTTGCATTAATAATACTTGATTTACCGTGTGTTTGCATTTTTCAGATTCACCCCATCTTTCACTTTTAATTCAGAACAAGGGTAAAGGCCCTCTCTTAGTTACCATTGTAGCTCCTGATTTTGTGGCGCTAGAAGAAACAAAAATTCAACTTGAAGAGAAAGAGAACAAAAAGGTAAGTATAAACAATACTAAAGAGTTGTTTGAATGATATTTTGATTAATAGAAGATTCAGCCTTATATTTTAATTGGATAATGAGAATTTTTAAGCCCGGACACTTGGTTCCTTAATACATAAAGCGCCATAATTCTTGACTGTCCAGATGTATAGAGTTACTATGCATTGGCAGAAAGAAAAACCCACACAATATTAATATTGCACAAGCACCAAGCATGCAATAGTCTAAAACAAGCACAATGCAATATTGAAGAAAGCTATTTCTTACATTGATGGCAAGGGTTTAACGGAAGCTAGAGCAAACGCTCTTACAGATACTGGTGGTCAGGGACTTGTGTAATGGCCTTGGCCTGGGACAAGCTTGGCTTGTGGCAGTACGAGCACAACCCCCACAAATTTTCATGATAAAACTGTCGAACTTGTAGCTCACTTCATTTTCTATCATGTTTGCTTTAGAAGATCTAGGCTAATCATTACAGGTCTTTGATGGATGTTATAGGCTGTAATGATGAGCATGCTTGTTGCAAAAAGTTTGTCACCATGTTAAGAACTGGATTGTGACCTGATATAATTTGGATTATGCAGGTGAAAGTTTCTGTTGGAAATGGAGGAACTGGCAGTTCAATTGTCCTAAAAGCAGGAAATGGTCATTGCGACCTTGATTTGAAGGACCTGATCACACACAGTTCCAGAAAGGAGCCTGAGAATTCTTCAAACCTAACCTATACAAACTTCCTGACACAAAGACCTACCATTGTGATTGTATTCTTTGCTTCACTACTGATATTGGCAGCGGCTTGGATGTGCATCAGCTTTAGACACAGGAGGCTCTCCAGCAATGGGTTTAAATATCAGAAGCTAGACGAGGACCTGCCAGTTTCGAATGAGGAAAAACCGGAGTTGCACATTAATGATGGGTGGGATAATACTTGGGATGATAATTGGGATGATGAGGAGGCACCCCACACACCCTCGATGCCAATCACGCCTAGCCTCTCTGGCAAAGGCCTTGCATCACGACGGTTGAACAAGGAAGGTTGGAAAGATTAGTTAATTAGGTTGAGAAAGAGATGATAGATGCATGCGCCTGTTTGTTATCTTATCTTTTTGTCATTCACAGAAAAATATCCGATTTTTCATTTCCCTAGCAGATATGGAAACTGGGAACAAGGTTTTTTTCCCCTTCTATACCGGAAGCTATCTGTCTTTGTGAACTTCTGCTTTTATACTGGATAAAACTTCATGTATGAGGATTGAGTGCAGTAGGGAAGTTAATTGCTTGATCCCTTACCCAACTAAAAAGAGAGAGAACACAGAACAACAAACAACAGAGATGGTTTGAATATGTTAGTTTTCAAGTTTCAAACTTATATTATCCAGCTTTTTGGGCTTTATGGCATCAATCCTTCCAAGTTAAGAAGCCCCTTTTTGGTAGCAACAAGGTTGAATCGGATTTGACCTAATATTGTAGTGATGCCCAAATGATACCTGTGGATTTGTAAGCCTTTCTAGAATACATTCCCCTCCCTCTTGGACTTGAGGATCAGACTGTTGGGTTAAGTTTATGTATTCTTGCTCAATTTAGAATTGTTGGGTTGGGTTGGGCTGGGGAACTGCCTTATGCAATCCCAATAGGCTGGCCAATAAGGTGAAAATGACTACGAAGAATTAAGTGTATGCCTTCTAACATTGCAGTTTCTGTTAGTATGCTCGATGGAGGCATGTTTACTTTTCTCATCACATTTACACACTAAATCCCCATTTCAGTTGTACTTTTTAACAAATTGCAGTCGAGCAGTTACCCCTACACTCGAAATCCTATATTCGAAAGCTACTCCGAACTGAAACTGAATGTCAGCCTATATTTCCTTGAACCAACATATAAACTAGTTGACTTCCGTCTATAATTCTCGAGTCAAAGTGTATGTAATTGATGGACAATCAAAAACAAATTATATACTAGTTTCTTTGCATGTGTGTGCTGTATAAAAATAGGAATCTGATATGCTCATTTTGTCCTCTGTTCATAATTTGGTAATTCAAATCTAGTAACACAACTCACCGTTTCTATATTCTTGATCATCATCATCACGTTCCCTCCCTCCTCTTCTATTCCTCTACATTGTCGTTTTTCCCAACCGACCCTTCAATCAAAACTTCCCCAACAAAACATACGATAACAGAAAAATCGCGGTTGTTAAGGCCATGTGAGGCCTAGCGTCACCAGCGACCACCTGTCGGGTTTTGATTGCACCACCTAGACGGAGCACGTGGATGAAGCTTCGCGCGATGGGATGTCCCTTGGGGAGACAGCACGTGGAGGGCCCCACGGTAGATTGTCAGATCGCACGAGCCCTCACATGACCGAACTGCGCTGCTTCCTCCAGAAACAGACACCTGTGCTGGTGTCCGGAATTAACGGCCTGAGAATCAACGTTGGACGTGACTGGCGGGGGTGATTTGACGGCTGTGATCTGCGAACATGACATTGTAATCGTATTCTCGTCTTTATTTTGTCTACAAGTAAGTCTATTTTATTTTACGGTTGAAGTCCGCCGACGACCTTTTTGACTGCCCTATATTTCATCGCATACTTTCTAATTATAAATTTGGCCCTTCTCTTCTAGATTTTTGGTTTTACATATTTTTTGCTTTTGGTGTAAAAATAACGATTTTGATCATCATGATTACACATTAAAATTTAAAAAAAACTTATAATTCAAATTATTAAGGGTAGTTATTCATGTATATAGTGTTTTAACGTTTCATGTAGAAAGGGATTCATATTGTAAGAGCATCCACAATGATGCTCTCTATTTCTTAGCTAAAATTTGGCTAAAAATATAATAAAGCTATTTTAGGAGCTCTCTAAAAAATTTCAACTCCAACCACACTCCCTAATTTGGAGAGTCATAAATGCTATAACTCTTTTTTGATTGGTCTATCTCTATTAAAAAATAAAATAAAAAATAGTTAGCATTAAATAAAGGTTTGAAATATTCATTAAATAAAGCAACATTAAATTATAGGGAGCCACTAGGAGTCCTTTCTCTCTCCTCAGATTTAGGAGCTCCTAGATAACTCCCTATTTTAGGAGGTGGATAGGGAGCGTGGTTGGAGTTGCATTTTTATGATTCCTCCCTAAAATTTGTTTAAGGAGGTGGTTTAGGGAGCCCATTGTGGATGCTCGAAGGCTCTCAGATGAAGATAGTTATAATATTGGTCATTTGATTGCTTACTGCATGATGCTTTTATCACATTTGAATGGTTCTTTTATTATCGTGTTTAGAGATGTTAATGTAGTGGCTCATCGGTTAGCGTGTTATGCTTTGTCATTAGATGGTATGCCTTTATTTAATAATAAATGAAAGTAACAACCAACTATCTTTAAAAATAATAAAATATTCATTTGACATCTTGCTTTTGGGATGTCAAAAATAACATCTCAACCTCCAGCTTTCATTCCACATCAGCTTTGACACATCTGTTGGAATGATGTGAGATGGTATTTCTAGCCGCTAAATGTCTATGTGGCACTTTTGACACATTGGTTGGAGATGCTCTTAGATGGTGTGTCTTTATTTATAGTAGGGTTAAATATTTTTTTTGTCATTGGGTTTTATGTCTCCTTGTCATTTGAAGTCGCAATACAGTTCTCACTCAATTGATTTAGACTTCAATATAACACCCAATTTATGACCTTAGTTAAATATCAAACTTTATTTTAGTCTGTTTTGCACCGTACGCGAAATATTATTCTAACTTTTTGGTCCAATTCTTTAACGCAACATAAAACGGGGGTAGTTTTTGTAATATATATACTTGCTCCTCTTTAAAAATGGAATTATATTCAGTATTTAAATTAGATATTTAGCAGGCAGTTGGAGAAGAAACATATCTACATGCAAGCAAAGACGTATCTAACCCGGCAAGTTGCACGAATAGTCACAACAAAATATTGGGGCTATTGGGCCATGAAATCCATTGCAGTTCAGTGGGGACGTAGGGTGCTGAGATTCGGATGTCGGTTTTTGACGTTCACTTTTTCAATTTACAACTCAACTGCCTTTTTGGATTATTTTACATTGCCAAATCAAACCTAAAATTTTACACTTTTTTTTCAATAAGAAAAACTTACTTATGCAATATAGTGGAACATATATCATATTTATACAAATAGAGTTGATAGATTACAGATAGATTCAATTGAGGGAATTTTAGGTTAAAATATAGCAATGATTTTTGAACTAAAATTCGATTTTACTTTTCGTCCCTCAAATAAGTACAAACTCCTCTATAAAAGACGTCGTTACACTAGTTAATTAGCTTGGCCGACCTTTTTTTTTTAATTTTTTTAAATACATGTTTCAATGAAATATGTAATTGAGGGAGCACCGTTATCATTGGAAAAGAGGTCGATGTCAATGTCATCGATTGATACAATAACGTTTACATTAATGTAACATTTGTTTTGACAACTTGAAAAGACATGCATGTGTGAGAATAACATCGAGTATATGTGATGTGAATGATTGGAACTCGTATTAGTTTAAGAATATTCTTGTTAAAAATAAAAATATAATAAAGTATTGATGGCATGCATTAAATTGGTTTCTTCTTCTTGTCGTCGAGGTCGAAAGATATAGTCTTTCAAACGTTTAACCAAAAGTTCATCTCAAAAATCTGAAAATTGGGGTCAAGAGTACGTTGAGACCTCTTTTTCTAATAGACAAGAGACTTTGTGAATCAAGGCTTTGACAACAAAATTTGATCATAATTTCCCACAACTATATTACAACTTACAAGTACACAATTCACTCACCCCCAACCCCAAGTTAATGTCAATAACACCTAAGGGTTGACAAGATGATAGATACGTCTTGATTAACAACTAGTTGATTAACAAATGTTTCTAGTGTGTTTGGTCAATCTCTTAAGTTTCTCTCTCGCTTGTCATAAGAGTTCGGTTTTAGTCTAATAACTTTACGTTAATAACGTAAGGTATGTGCCACATATCTTTATACATTGATATCTTCAATTGGCCAAATCAGAAGATAAATGAGAATCGAACTCTTTTTATGAATAAATATATTAAAATTGCATGTTTATTAATCCATAATTGGATTATGAGGAATTAAATTGAGGAGAATTATATTCCGGATTCCCATTGAAGTTGTTTACTAAATCATATGGATTTAGGGGAGTTAGATTCCGGATTCCTATTGAAGTTATCATATGGAATTGGGGTCGGAGTAGTATTAATTACTAAAATGTCCTCATTGTTGGATTAAACTGGATGACAAATTTAGAATTTTTAAAATTGTATGAGGATATAATGGGTAAAAAAAATGAATTCCTAATAAATAAGTTTTTAAGGAATTAGAATACCATCTGTCATCAAAAAATTGAATTCCTTCAAAATCATGAATTCAATTCCTAATTTTTTATATTTTTGATTATTCTGAGTTTGCAATCTTAGTTGGGATGCCTATGCTAGAGTTTATTCAATCCTGCGTGATCATTAGTGGAGGCACACCAGATTATCTTAATTTTGTTGTTCGACTGCTCCGTTATTGTAATCGCCCTTTGTGGCTAGTTTGTTTTGGCCCCTTGTGGCTAATGGCTTTTTTGGCTGAATTATGAATGCAATCCTAGAATTTCTCTACAACAAAAAAAAACACGAGAATCCTCCATAAGTAAAATTCAATTCATAATGAGAATTCCAATTCTTGATTAGTAAACACACCATAAAGATAATATACTTTTTCGGATGAGATGAGATTTGAGTGGAGGACATTCACTAAATATTGGAGTAGTACATCACGACACACAAAGCTAGAAAACAAAACAGGCAAATCAATCAGATTTGCTAGATAAAAGCATGCATGCATTATGCCATCAAGAGCGCGAGTGATAATACGAAGAAACAAATAAGAGATTAAAAAAAAAACAATTGGCTTAGTAGTGGAAAGCATAATTGGCCCCAAAATAATGATCCAGAGATATTTGAAATATATACAAACAAACTTTACAAAGTTATAAAGTCATCGGTCTCTCAAAACTCATCTGTCATGTATAGGAGGTGGTGGGGGGAAAGGCCAAAACCCTCTTGGGTGAAGATGAGGTTGCGTTCATGGGCGGAACCAAGGCAAGGGCTGCCCTTGGCTGTAGCCCAGGGAAGGTTTGGATAAAAAATAAATTAAATATACATATATTATAATATTTTAACTAAAAACAAATAAATATATATACAATTTCAACACCAATAGGCATAGTAAGAGGTCTTTCACATTTGTATTTGGTGTCAAAGTTTGTCCCAACATCAATTTTAAAAATTTTATATTA